GTCGAAACGTTGTACATTTGCTGTTATGTTAAACTTATATTAAAGTTTTACTTCATTACCCATTCAAGCCGTCTCCAACCATTATTAGTCTCAAAGTTGGTTCCTTGTCATCGAAAGTGACAATTTATTGATGACTCTGCAAATGAACAGTCACCACCTTCTGTCTCTGTAATTTTATTTCTGATACTCCATTCTATATCAAAAACATCATTGGGGAAAGTGTCTCCTTATTTCATACAAAGGAGATTAGAGGGGTTTACTAGCTCTCCAAAAGCATTCAAGAAGCTATGATCTGGAGACCTACTAGTTGAAACATCATGAGAACAGGACAATAAACACCTCTTGAAATCAAAGGCCATCAAGATACCTTTTTGCAGTATTTTGAATTCATTGAGAGTGGTCATTGTTGAGAGAGACCTCTAGTCAAGGAATATCAGCTACTATAAATGGAAGGTCAAGGAATTGTTAATGGGTACAATCTACCAAAGAATAACTTTACATAAAAACAGCTAAATAAAGGATTTTGGAATCTGTTGAAAATAAATAAACATTAGACAATATATAAGAAAAACTGCTTATTACTTTTCTTATCCACAACTTTATGGTTGCCAAAAATATGCAATTTAACTTTCCTTTACCCCCTATTATTCATTGTACAATACATCTGAATTTATCCCCAACATTATTAATGAATTCAGATTATTCAGTGAAAATTATTCATGTGAATCACATCATTTGTTATTTGTATTCTTGCTTGTTTACATATCTTAAAAGCAGTTTATTAACAATAACAAACCATTTCACCCGACCAAGGGTTTTTTGCAAGGAAGAGAGGATATTAAATAGGATATTAGATACATGTTTATGTAATGAATGTCCATGTAATTTTATTTAATTGAATATAAACACCTATATTATGTATCTAAACAAAGACTTCAAGATCTTAAATCACTGGTCATAGGACTCTTAAATGCATTGTTATCCTATCTTCATGCTTTTGTGGATGGATTATAACATCAGAATAGTGCCCAATTATGCATACTTAGCTAATTGTACTGGTGCCAGAGGATGTGGGAGTCCAGGATGCTGTATTCGCTCAAATCGTATGCAACCTCATTGAGTACCATTTTTACCAAGCCTGGCCAACAAATACTTGTGCTCCAGTAGTGATATCTTTAGTGTACTGGTAATAATGTAAGCCTGGTGCCATAGAGGTAAAGATGGAAATATGTACAG